TATATATATATATATATATATATATATATATATATTTCTTTGCTTTTATGTGTTTGCGCTTGGTTTTTGCTTTGTGCGCGTTTTGAGGTATACGTTCGGTGTCTATTTTGTGTTTTTATAGATCCGAGCTGGTCACGCTGGGGTTAAACCTCGACCTCAGTTTTTCGTAAAGGAATCTTTTGAGAGGTTCGAGTTTGGCCTGAGGTTCGGATTCGGTCTCGAATTGAAGTGAGGTGAGCTATACGAAGGTTCGAATTTGTGAATATATGACTGTTTTATTTGGCATGCAACATAAACAAACTGAGAAATAAGCACATTCGATAATATGTAAGACAAAGATACAGATCCTCTCATGTACAACAAGGCAGGCCATATTCAAATCTTGTGTCTCTTTCTCCCTATTTAATGTGATATCAAAAAAGGGATAGACACGAGATTTAAACATGACTGTCATGTTAAAATTTTACATGAGAAGATTCATTCTCATAAGAGAGTCCATAGGGGCAAAAACTAAAATCTTATATCACCTGCAATACTCGAAGCTGCCTTGCTTCTTTGTTCTGAGCATCACGATCCACCATGGATGGATGATTTGTCAACTTATGAGGATGATCAATACCTCCCTTTTGATAACAAGCATTGCATACATCATACTCAGGGCAAACTTCACAGCGCCATCCTTGACCAGTTTCTATGTCAAGATAACATATATTGCAAGTTGTAACAAATGCGGGAGCTGTTGGATTATGGAGATGATAAAGGACCATCATTGAGGAATGCTTTGCCCGCCTTAGTGTATCATACTGGTAATGATTCCCCTGGCAGAGACTCAGAAATGCTTGTCTAGTGTCAAAGAATTCACTCTCAAGAATATCATCTCTGTCCTTCGTATCAGATGGAACATCAGTAATTTCAACCTGAGCATTATGATGTGAATTAAAATAAATCACTTATAGTTGGAGCTATCGCATGATTGTGTGTATTTGAATAGCTTATTTTGTTTTAAGAAAAGTCAAAAATAAAAATGCTCAGCAGTTTTCACTGAAATGTCATTTTTTGAGTGTAAAATAATTAAAACCGGGCATGCAATATACCAGTCCAATTTAGAACTCCATAATTGTCTAACAACTTGATGATTAATGGGCAAGTCCTAACAATCTCGGACAGCAGTGAAGAAAAAACGAACTTGTATACAAGAACTCGTATTACATGGCAAAATTAGAGGTACTTACTGGATAAAGAGTATGTTTCTCCCTCTGATTAGTGGGATGTCTTTCTCTCTCTTCACGCTTTAGTTCTGCATCATAACACCTAAGAAAAGGCAAGACAGAATGTGTGACTAGCAAAATTGATTCTTAAGTTAGGAGGAGGTTCAGTCAGCAAGGATAAAGCAAACGAGAAAGATCATGAAAAGGGATCTGAACAACAAATATTAATAAGATCATAAGATATGATGTCAAGATACTAAAAAATATGATATTGAGACAATATCTACAACTGTCTGCCAGTTTTCATATTTTGTCCAAATCTGCAGTAAAAATTATTTTATAAATTCAAGTCTTATGAACTAGCTTTGAAAAGCAGATTGGAACGGTTAGTCCAACCAGGAAACCAATGACCTGATTGACCTGCTTGTGCCAGAATTATGTGATTCATCCGATTCATCTGTGATCCCTATGATTCATCATCCAATTCAAGAACAAAAACAATTCCCAGTACAATTCGCATCTCCAGCTCTTTGAATCGAATCATATCGTATGTATCAAATCATGAATGCTACGATACTGATAGCAATGCTTAGAAGGCCATACTGAAGACTATTCTAAAAGCTCCTTGAAGAATATAAACCATTCAGCAATGTATCAAATAACCGTTATAACCCCATTATAACGGAATAGCATAAAGGTCTCCAGCCGTATCACCATCCATTATTTGGCGTTTTATGGTGGCATCTGCCATATCCGCCATGGCGCCCCTAATGGTCGTTGCGCCGTAAAGGTTTACAAAGGTCATGGTGAATATGGTGCTTTTTTATTAAAAAAACCCATTTTAGAGTTTTTGATCCAAGCCCAGCCCATTTTAAAGAAAAATCCAAAACACTTGCCCCAATCGCGGAGTGTTGTTGCTCCCAACCCTGAACATTGCTGCTGCCCTAGGGTTCTTTGAACCTTTGTTCAACTCCGGCTACTGAACTGTAGCGGCCCCTCACTCCGCCGAACCTTGGAGTGAGGTTCAAAACAGGTAATTTTTTTAGTTTTTTTTTTTTCCTACTTCCTCCTCTTTTTTCCAATAATTCGTCATCTGGTTTATTTCCTATTATTCATCTGTTATTCTTCTATTCCTCTGCATCTGATCTTCATATCCTTCATGTTGGGTCTGGTTTGAGTTCCTATTTTGTTCAAACATTGAAAATTATATTTTGTTCCCTATCTTTTATTCTGCTTTTTTATATAAGTTGTTTTTAATTAATTTTTTTCTGCTTGTAATTTATTTTTTGTAGTTTTTTTGTATATGTATATTATTATTTTTTTGGTCCGCCATGCCGTCGGCCATGTTTATAATGGATTTTTGGCTCACCACCATAGACTGTTATCCGTTATCGATAACCTTGCTATTCAGGGTATCAGTACTGTAGTCTAGCAAGCACGATTATGACATGGGCATCAATATGACACCATGGGCATGGGTCACAGCAATTTACTAAAGTTGTAAGGGACAGCATGATCAGGATACTTGTTTGTGCTTCATAGACTTCAGTTCATGACTACTATATTTAGTCAAAGAACACACAACTTTGATATTATGTATAGCAGTAAACACATCAGATGCTAAAAACATGGAGATAAGATTGAAGAGTCCTTACTTATCACAAATCTGAAAATTCTTGCACTGGTTGCAAACCCAACGTTTGCCAGACACCATTAAAATACAACAGCTAGTACATGCATGCTGCAAATGAACCATAATAAAATCTTCCTTCATCGGGCAAATGGTTTCACCAAGCTGGAGAAAGATCAAGAATTTTATAAGAAATTATTAAACATAAGGAACCTAACAGATAAATATTAAAAATATGTTTGAAAATTTAGTTATATAACACCCAAATAATATGAAAATGACAAGCAAGGGAACTCATCTACCAAGAGAACAAAACTATGTATTATACATGTAAAGTAGTGAATTACTTTGTGCATAAGGAGCAGGTCCTTTGAGGCATTTCCTGAAAGGTCTGACTGACCAGATGCTTTTAAAGCCCTTTTTGTTATAGTTTTCTTAGTTGTTCCCTTCTTATTTTGTTTCCTTCCATCTTCCTCTTGACGAAGCTGATAAATCAAATCCTCTGCAGCACCAGGCCAGTAGTCACCATCAAAATATGGGAGTCTTGCTGCAGTAACCTTAGCCCTACATTCACCGGTAGATATGAAGAAATGATCGTACAAGTTGGTGAGGTCGACCACAATATTCTCCTTGGCAGCTTTTCTTAACATGGATAGATACCTGAACAAACATGTTTAGAAATGCAAAGTTAGAGATGAACAAACCTATGACATTGAGCAAGAAAACTAAGTAGACAACTTTTATCTCTTTTGCCTATACAGAAGCTATTAGGCTCACCATTCACGTAGCTTATCTGATTTTGGTGTTTTCTGAATTTCTGGATGGCAATATAAAATATAATCTTCACCCTTTAATGGAGGACAGGCCCATATATAGCAGCTTGTAAAACCACGTTTCTTGCAATATTCAAGATATCCAATCTATAAAGAAATAATTTGTATCAAATATAAATTATAGGAAGATAATGACCCAGAACTAGAATATCTCCAAGGAAGAGTCCCGAAGCAATAAATGTAAGAATCCAAATTTACCAGAATTTCATGGTAAACAAAAGTCCGAAGAGCCTCTCCTGTCACTGCTTTAACCTCAGGCCTAAAATACTTCACAGAATCCAAATATGAAAGATACACCCGGCGCTGATTAGGAAATTGACATTCAGATCCAAACTCTTGAACATACATGCCAAATAGGCAAACTTCCACACCTTCTATCTTTTGAAACAACAAAATGACCTGGAATAGATAGCAAAGGGCATTAATATAACGATTCAATTATAATTAGATTGATAAAGTCAATCAATCACCTTCGATTTATATGGAAATTCTGTTGGGTAATTTTCTTCCTGAAAAATCTCCAGAAACCGAGGTTTCACTTCTAACTTTTTGTCAACAGATGACACAACTCTAACAACAAGAGCTTCAGCTCCAGGAATCTAATAACATCCATGGATGACATTAGTAGTCCATAGAAAACCATGATACTAGCAAAAGAAACATTAAAAAACACAAAGGAGTAAAAAAAAATAAATAACTAAAAAATAAACAACAACCAAGTCCTTCCCACTAGGTGAGGTCACCTACATGGATCGACCAATAATGTTACATGATGAAAACAAACCACAGTTAATGGTTTCACCAATTTTATTTTCATGTTCTCCCTTTTCATCTAGGGATACGGCTGTCTTTCATCTGATCTACTCTCCTTAGTGGGGTTTCTATAGGTCTTCTCAAATCGCAATAATACTCAAACCACCAAGGCAAGATTCTATCATTTTTCCTGTTAAGGTTCTGCCCCCAACTTTCTATCTGATGCATTATTCCAAATCCTTATATCTATATCCACTCATCCAACTCAACATTCTTATCTCTGTTGCATTACTCTGTTGTTGGCATTTTACTATCCAAAACTCATTTCCACATACCATCACGAGTCTTATAGCTAAGGTAGACAAAATTAAGATCTTTCATAGGAATATAGGATTGAAAAGAGTAAGGAATCATGCAAATGGTGTGATTATAACATGGATCGGTACATCTGACTATAAAATTATATACATAAACCTATAAATAAATGTATATAGAATAAATAAGATATAACCTTTAAAATACAGCAAACATTTAAATAAACTTAAGTACATAAAAAGTCACATACATGAAACAACTTATAAGATGCAAACTGAGAGGTAATAAAACACATAAAACAAGCTAATAATTCCAAAAGTAGTAAGACAACTTTTTGGACAATATGTAAAACTTAAAATACCAAAAGAAAATAAGCAACTCAACAACAAAGCACCAAAACAAGTCAAACCATCCAGCACAGCACAGCATTCAGACAAGTCAAACAAAGGAAATAGAAACAAAACCCAGTTCAAAAACAGCAGAACCAGAAGCCTTAAACAAAGAACAAATGCAGAGAGCCAGATGAGATTGGATGGAGAAGAACCCGGAAAAGATTAACCCCAATGAATCAAAACATGGATGCAAAAGTGAGCGAATTAGCAGAAGAAAAGAGAAGAGGTGGAGACAAGTCGAAGTGATTTTTTCCAAGCGGAAGATGCAGGTGAGTCTTCTCTCCCCCCACCCACAAACAAAGAAAAAGGGCTTCTCCTTCACACGATGGGATCATCTTATTCCACCAATTTTACACTTAAGAATTAAGATAATAGCCCTCAATTTAAGCCTACAGTTACAAGAAAAACAACTGTAGATCGGTCTTGTGTTCTCACACTAATCATGACCTCCAAATACATATCATACAATATTGATGAAAGAACTAAAACATACTAAAGAAAAATAATGATGAAATAAAGATTTAAACCAGACATATTTCTGCCAACCAATACATGAATCACCTCATCACAACTTTTTCCTTGAATCCTTGCCCTTTCTTGTTTTTCTTGCTTTAGCCGTCTAAATAACCGCTGCTCTATGTGATCACTAAGAATAGTTCTCGGCAAGTCCTTGGCTCCAAGTAGAGCACTTTGGGGTAAGGGCTTGCGCTCTCCTCTTTCTACTTCTTGAATATAGCAGTTAGGGCAAGTATATTCAGCTTGTCCACCATCATTTCTTCTGCCATTAAATAAGGCACAAATTTGATGTTGCCACGCTTCACATTTATCACATTGAACCCACTGCACAGAGAACAAATAGTTAATAAAACAAAATGTTAACTGAACAATAAAAATGCAATTTATGGCACACATAACACACCCATTCTTCAGTTTCCTCATCATTCTTCTTCTTTTCCAATCTTGACTTTGCAATAGGAGTCCCATCAACAATGATGTTCTCTGTACGAGCATCATTATAGCATGGAATACAAAAATAATGTCGTGTGTCACCAGTGCCAGTGGTATAATACATGTTATTTCGTTTAATGCGAACCCCACAAGTTGTGCAATAGATAGGTGGTGGTTCAAAGGTAAGCTTCTCTACAGCACACAATTGGCAGGAGTTCTCACTCATTGAATGCTCCATTGCTTGATTCTTCTCTGCTTTTGACTTGCTCTGTCACATGAAAATGATGCATTGTGGCAACATGTGGATACCAGAAACAATTAGAGAAATAGTGTGAAATATAATACATCAACAATTAAAAACTAGTACAATATAATGCTTATCCAAACCTTAAAATACTTATAAACCTCCAGTTTAGGAAAATAACAGAACCTAGGATGTTAAATAGTGAGGTGATACGAAATGTTTTTGAAGTCTACAGTAACAAATAAACATGTATTTGGATTAACCACTTTATCTGAACATTTAGATTAAAAAAATATAATGATTGAATTAGTCTTATGGTTAACTGTATACTGTATGTACAATATTATGAAAATAGCATTTTATGAAGTTTAATGCATTATGTATCAAGATTCTAGCTCAAGTTATAAGAAATCACATTCCCAAAAAAATTACCATATGAGATTGATAGAAGATTCAAGCAATGGAATATATATGACAGATCTCATGCATAAAAAATCTACCATCAGTAAACCATACAAAAGGCTATTTAAAACAGAAAGACATCAAAGGGTATTCAAGAGGATGTGATAGCGATTACTAGGAATCTAAGTTCTTCAATAGCATAATAAAGCATAATTCAAAATTTGACCAGTTGATACATTCAGAGTGGACTTCATCTGGCGAATCTGGAAAATGCACTCAAAGATTTAAGTATTTTCTCTTGACTATTCTCACAGGCTTTGATCAGAAAAAGGAAAGCCATGAGATTAAAGTATTTTATAGGGCACGTTGTTGGGAAATAAGAAATATGCTTTCTATGCTATTTTTGGCCTCTTTGACAAGGGCAAGGTGCCTACATCTATAAAGGCAAAAAAATATTCCTAGCCCCTAGACTCACCTTTAATTGATATGGAAAACAATTATCCCTAGTCCCTAGTATCTCCTTGGTATGTAGTTGTTATCAATCTCTCCACATTTCAGATCATGCTTCCTTTTATGAAATTGAGTTGAGAGTTGTAGAGGGAAAGAATTATACTATAATGTTTTTTGTACTCATTCTAATGAATTTTCCTTTTAAAAGTTATTAAAACATAAAAGTTGTCCATTTTTGTGATTCCTAAAACACAATCTCATTCTGTCTAATTTTTAGAGTTTATTTAGTGTTAGACAACAGTACAACTAAAAAATTCTTTGAACTAGTGACTTCCCCAGTTACAGATGTCGTTCAAGTGCATGTGCAATCAAACATGGGATCACTGAAGAATTATATTTCTGTTAACACATACTAATGAAGTCCAAATCATATTTCAACTATTAACAGAAAGTCAGTGACTTGATAGGAACAGATATGCATACCATTATGAAGAAGAAACATATTAAATAGAGAGTAAGTGGAAAAGGTTTGCACTACAGATATAGTATTAGTTTACTAATGAACTTAATTATACTTTTTCAATGAAAAGATGGCACAATAATATAAAGACTTGCCTGGCCAACCCATTGCCTGAGACCAGTGATATGCTCCCTGACTTGCTCTGGAGTAAATAATTCGGTCAATGAGACTCCCTTTATTTTTGGCTTACCAGACTTGGTGCCAGCTGCATTTTCAGATGTCTGCCCAACATTTTCTTGCCTGTCTTGTCCAGTTTCTTTCTCAGCTTTTATATTTTCAGGCCTAGCTAAATTAGAAGGTTCATCATATTTGACAGGTTCAGCACTAGGTGTTTTAACATCTGCATTATTGTTATCCATTTTCATCTCACTAAGCTTTTCATGTACTACATGCACTGGAGCTTCAGCCTTAACTTCTGTAAGCTCAGACTTAATTGGAATAGACTTCTCAGCATTCAGATAGGCTTGGGGTTGGGACTGAGAATCCCTGGAAACAAGAGATTCACAATTCGCAGTAAAAGATGAAGCAGAATGGTCATTTTCAGGATTAATGGACTGGGAGCTGTGCTCAATCTTTATACGTTTTACAGATGGGTGCAAGTCCTCGGAAGTTTCAACAACTAATGGAGGCTTTGTGATCAATCTCGGTGATGTGCCTACAGTATTGTAAGGTTTACAGGATCCATTCACTGCAGTTGGCAAGCTTGATTCAGGTTCCGGACGAATCTGAGGCTTGAATTGAAATGCACGTCGATACTTTCTTACAAAAACACAAACAGGACAACATGGATCCTTGCAGTTTATGAAATGATGAAGCAACACCCTAGTATGATGGCAACGAGGATATGGACAATGGCGCAAGGTGCACCCATCTATGTGCTTGCATAACTTCTGTGCAATAGAACAAAATCGTTCTTTGCATCGTCCTTCAGGGGCAGAACACCGTCGAGCATGAAGTAGAAATAAAAGCCACCTTTGTTGATTCCTGTGTGCCTTTTTGATAGCACTTCCTGAGTCCAGCTGCTCAGCTGAGCCTCTAGAAAGAACAGCCCGACCAATAATAGATCCATCTGATGACAAATTATTGCATTGAGCTTCATCTTGTCCAGATATTCTTTGATGAAAATCCAAGCGGAGATGCTGATCATGTGAAATACTGTCAAGTGTGTGGTTACAATCTTGTGATTGAGGCCATTGGTTTAGAATTACAGATTTGGATTGTGAGCCAACTCCAAGACAGTTAAAATTATTTTGAGACTCTGCAACCAATTGATGTGGGTGCAACATTTGTTGCGAATTTTGAGGTGTTGCTGATGATAAATCACGGTGACCAGATGGGAATGGAAGATGTTGACCGCCCCTTGAGCAATCTTCAGTTGAGTTCTGCTGGAACTGACTCTGCATCTCAGACATGTGGAACTGATCAGAGACATGGGAATTGAGCACTTCTTTATGGTGTTCAATTCCAGGTTCAGACTTTACTCGGTTTTCTAGATTGGAAGCAAGCTGAGACTGACCGAAAGCATCACTGTTGACTACATGCTGAGGCTGCTGATTTTGCATAGATTGAAATTGCTGCTGCATATACTGATCTGGCTGTTGCAATTGTTGAGTCCTTTGCTGATATTGCTGTTGAGAATGCATAAGCCCATCTCGTGAAGTCAATGAAGACTGGAAATTCAACTTCTCTAACTGATTAATTGGTTGAGACTTTATATGAGCAGCCTGCTGCATACCATGCAAATTTGAGTGACCACTTATCAATGAGCTAGTTTTGGGTATTGATGGCAATTTGACTGAATTAGTGTTCTGATTGTTCATCATGGGCCCAGAGGATGTTGCAGATGTATACAAGTTTCCAGAAGCAAAAGTGTCAACATTATTCATTCCATATCCATCACCTGACAATAAAATTGATATCCTTTCTGAGATATGTCAATTTCTAAGAGAAAAATGCAGAACATGAAACATACATACAAACACATCTATACTCATCTAACAAACAGCAATAAAACCAAAAAGGTTATGCAACTTAAAACAGATTCTGGTAGGAGGTAAAGTGCCTAGCCTCATTCCTTGATAAAATAGAGAAAAAGGAGTAAGAAATATTACCCTGCACTACTGGTTTCTGATTTTGATCAAAGTGCTGCTGCAAGTGTTTAGGGGAATTGGCATAAGTTGAGGCAAAGTTCTCAGAAGTGCCAGGTTCATGTGCAAGTTGTATATTGTTTCCAATCAAGCCTGACCCACTATTTATTGCACCATTTGAATTTGTAAATGGCTTCTGAAGTAAACCAGATCTCATTCCACTACCCATTTGGCTGCTGAAGTTCTGCAATACATGACTATTTTGTCCACCAACATGCTGCTTCTGCTGTGACTGTGGTACCATAGTAGACTCTGCACTGGAAAAGGCACCTCCATTAGTATTAGAATCTATATTCATGTGTGAGTGATTACTGCTGACTGTGAATCCAGGAGTGGGAATCATCTGGCTAGCCATTCTCTGCACCCCCATTGATGATATGTTACCTCCCGAAGCAACAGAAAAGCTGGTAGAAGACTGCTGATAACCATTAGACAAACCTGAAACACATTGACTCTACAATGAAGGACAGGAAAAAGGAAAGCAAAAGGATTCGTGAAGAACGAAAAAATTTTAAAAAACCTAATATTACCATCAAATCTATTTAAGGAATTGCCAAGCAAACTACCAGCTGGTAACATGTTAACATTATTGAAAGGTGTTGATGCTATGCTATTACACCCGCTGGCAGAAATCATTGAGGCATCCATAGAAGATGCAACCATCATGCTTGAATTTGGAACATGTGACATACCAGGGGTTGGTATCATTGTACCAATTGGAGAAGAGTTAACAAGCTGTGGATATTGTTGGTTGTGATTATTCATAGATGCTCGTCGAAGGAAATTCGATAAACGACTCTCTAGTGTATCCAAGTTCATGTAATCCTCCTAAAAGATAAGTCCAAAATATTATTAACACAAAATTAGTATTTAACATTAAGGAAGAAGTTTGAAGGTTCCGTGTTATAATTTCCAGATTTAGAAATCTAAAGTGTTTAAAATTAGGAACAAGATTTAGATCCTTCCAAATAGTCGAAACTGGAACAGAAAATTAACTACGAGCCCAGGGAAAAAACCTTAGAGAGAGCAGCTTTTAACATGCCCTCCTCCAAGCGTTTTGCAAGATCCTTAAGCTTCTTTCTCTGTAAATCTGTAACCGGCTGCTGTTGTCGTTGCAACAACATATCAAAGCTGGAAGGTAAACACAAGATATTTATTGATGAGAATGAAAAAGACTATTGTAATTTATCTTATGCTCAAAATTATACTATTTTTAAGTAAAAAAGTCAATGCAGGAAGGGAAATCGGCACATGATAGAGACAGTAATCTAATTCACTTAATGGCATACCCACTGCAGGGATCCCTTAGCAACAACTTTGATAGAATGATCTAGCTATACATACAAAGTTAAGGCATGAATTATATAGTGGAAGATAAAGAAGCATGAGTGTGACTCAATGTTGTCAAGAAAATTGCAAATATATTCAACTAGGTCATACAAGTGAGCCGTAAAGCATATAATGAAACATGAAAGGAAGTATACTGCCTTTCATTTCATTTCCTTTTTTTAGATAGCTCCAACTATCGATTTCGTTATATGAATCTATCTATATATCATATACTGGCTTTCATGGTTGAGTTTACTCTAACATGTTGGTAGTTAGTTTTAACAAAAATATCGATCCATTTCTTATCATACCTATAGACAAAATTCCTAATAAGAATCAATGAAGTCAATTAACCCCCCCCCCCCCTTTTTGAAAGAATGCAGTTAAACAAAAAAAAAAAGCTTACATCTTATCTTGAATAAAGGCGCGAGCTCTGAGCAATTCAGGGTCCATATTAATTGTTGAACGGGGTACACCACCTAAAGGTGGCATCTGATGAGAGAGTGCACTCCCATTCAGTTGGGCTAGTCCAGACAATTGAGACCCTGCTTGATTAGGTACCTGTCCTGACATCTCCCCCGGAATATGTGCTTGCAGTTTCATCTTTATTTTTCACATAACTCAAAAATGTTTCAGGATTCCACCATCTGCTAGCTCTCCTCCCTGTAATCAGGGTACAAACCAGACACATTGATGACAGTGCGAATTATGTCCAAATCCATTTGAATGTATATCAACAGACAACAATTTCATTAGTGGCACGAAGGGCACGTAAGAAAAGAAAAAGGAAGAAAGCAATATTATCGGAAGATACAAAATATTAAAGGAAGAAAAGGCAAAAGATATTGAATGCAAGCAATGTTTTCAAATTTTCCTAAATTCTATCAACCAAAAAAAAAAGGTTCTACAAAATCACGCTAAGGATCCCCTTCTGCTTGAAATTGACAGCTGAAAGATTAAATTTATATTATACAAATTCAATCGAACATAACTACAGCAAAAAACCCTAAGTACCGAATCGAATCAATAAATACATGTTCAGGAACACAAACCCTAATAGATTGATGGGTTACAACGAACCTAAAACAGTGAACAATACAGAGCCAAGCACGATTTGATATAGCAATATAGAATTGGAAAGGAACCCCCAGGTTATCGACGACCACGCCGACGAGGATTCACGATGCTTTTGCCGTAGAGAAAGAGAAAGGTCGGTGACACCGTCTCCTACCAAAGGCACGTGCGGAAATTTGCCACGAATGAACTATAATAACGGAAACAAAAACAATCGATAAATAAATCATAAAAGAGAAGAAACCATGAGAAAGACGGAATCGAAAGGGATATTGGTCTACCACAAAACTAGAATGATTTCAGATTTTCAGTTAGGAAGCTTAGGCTCAATCTGGATTTAAAAAAGGCTTTATTGTTTTTTCTTTAATATCATTCAAAGTTGATTTGGATGTTAATTTTTATTGGTTAAAAAAAACAGGGTTATAGATTTATGATTTTAAAAAAAAAATTATAATAATTAATAACAAAATGATCAATTTTTTTAAAAATATGTAATAAAAATATATTTATGTCATTTGATATGCTGACTTTAAAGGGGAAAAATAATGTTAAATATTAGAAAAATTATTTTTCCTATAAATGTTATATATAAAAAATTAAGGAAATAAAAGCTGATTATGAATCCTATACAAATCATAATTAAATTATAATTGAATGATATCTCCATCAATTAAAATAATGGACACATAACATTATAAAAACAAATAATATCAATTCTATCAATAAGATTTGGAGTCAAACTCTTTAAGCTTTAATAAAACAACAAGCAGATTCAATCACATAATATGCTAATTATTTTAGTCAATTCGATTAGGAACGATATCAAATTACAAAAGTAGAGAACTCATAACCGTTTCAATAAATCACACATAAACCTAAAAAGATTTAGGGATCAATTCACTATCCATAATTTTTTATAATTATCCTAAATATCATTTAATATTGCAATAATGACCTTGACAAAATTATTCCACTTATGATGGTACTCTTATTTATATTAAAGGATCAAATATAATATTTATATCATATTTGTTTTTTTATCTATCCTTTTCTTTTTCACATTTTGGAAAAAAAATCTACTTCCATTGAAAATTATTTTATTTTTCACTTTTCATATTATTTTCTCACTTCCAGTGAGACAAAAATATTCTTTTGTTTTCATTGTTGCACAATTTTCCTACTTTTGGTGAAGAAAAATATTCTTAAATTTTCTTTATTTAATGGTGTTTTCAGGACTACTATAATGTCTTCAATACTACTTTGATTCATAACAATGTAAATAATACAAATATTTTATAAAATTCTTATTATGGAAGATGAATAGCTAACCTTAAAATATTTGTCTTGAAAAATATGACCTTCAAGAAAATTCTTCATAACTTTGGCTTGTAGTTGCAACACCTATAAAGGAAAGACTATCATGTTAATAACGTATTATAAAAGAAAGAAAATGTATAAAGAACAAACAAGACAATATGAGATGGAGAAAATAATCTAACTAATGTACATGTGGAAGGACTAACCTATTTATAAGTACATGTGGTAACTAGACAATTACATAAAAAAGGAATAATACATAATAAAAATATAAATGGTAATGATTGATAATGAATATTGACATCCACTACTAATTATTATTCATAACATATTGGTATTAAAAAAATATAAGGATTTTAAAGGAATGTTGTATTAAAGAGATTTTGAAGGACTTTTTAGTGGTATTTATAAATACCACATTCATAAAACAATCGCATCCAAACCCATCAAATTTTGAAGGATTATTTGAAGTGACTTTTCAAGTGTTTTAAGAATTTTCAAGTGAGTTTTTCATTTTTTTTCTATGTTGTTATCTTCTCCATTTTTTTTTGCTATTAATATTATACTACTATTCATATATAATACTACACTATTATTTCCATTTCATTCCCCCTATTTGGTGAAACTCTAGTATGTAAATGACAGTACCATTGACTTGCTATATTTTCTTTCCATTATCTTTAATTGGCTTGTTCTATTTTGCTTTATTTGGTTGAGTTTGTTCCTTAAATATATAACACAAAAAAATACTTGAAATTTGAACTTTTAAGTAGTAATTTTTTATAACGTGTGTCAATGAAAAGGAAAGCTGGAAACTGAAACTGATATAATGATCCGTACAATCAGCCTTTGTAATTAATTTAAATTTATTAGAACAATATATATATATATATATAAATGAATTTCAGTTAGGATTTCTATTAGTAGAATGAGATGAAAACGGATCTTAGTTGCCCTCTCAGCACAAAAAATTGCAATCTCTCTCCCTCGCGTGAGTTTGTTATTGTTATCTCTATTCCTTTATGATAATAATTATTTTATTTCTTTTTTTTACTATGAATTTTATTTTTTAACTTTTATATTGTAAAATTGTGATTTTTTATATTATAAAAAAGGAAATTAACATAAGATATTGCGATATCTTAGAATTCAATACTAAAAATATTTCTTCACAAATAATTAAAAAATTATAAAATTTGTTTTGCACCTATAACAAATTTTAGATATATTTTTTCTTCTCCTAATTGATATTTGAGAATTTCTAAGATATTTTAAATGAATAAAAGTGCATGAAAGACACACTTTTACTCAAATATCGATATAAAATGCAAGGACATATTTAATTATAAGAGAGTAGGGCAAGTGTCTACTGTTTTTTTAATCATTTATAAATAAAATATTTTAAATCACAAATTATAAACAATTTGAAATGTTGTTTAGAATAATTTTTAGTATATGCGGTACTACATAACTTTATTCGTAAATAATGTTGTTCTGGTGAATTTTCAATTAGAACAGTAGATAAACATTTATCTTCAACATTACCGATTAATAAAAATCATAATTTTGAACTTATTATTCAAACCTAGAGTAAGAGCGAGAAGACGTTAATGTTTGAATGATTAGTATAACTATGAATATGTGACTGAATGTTATTTAGGAGGACATGATATTATGCAGAATTATTATTATTATTATTTAACCAAACATTATTTTGTTTTGTCTTAACTTTTTTTAAATTTGAATGTATAAAAAAAATCTCGAACTCTTATCGTATATTAAAAATTCACGAAATTCTGCAAATTTCGCAAAGTTCCGCAGAATTAATTAAAATATTGACTTAAAAATCTTGCAAAATTATTAAAATCTTAATTTAAAATTTTGCAAAATCTTCCAAAATTTTAAAAATCATAAAAATCCTAAAAAAAAACCTTTTAAAATCTGCAAGTTTTTTTTTTAACTTAAAAAAATCTTAATCTAATATAATATTTATACATCTATACATTTATATCTATACATCTATACATCTATACATCTATACATCTTATAAAGGGAATACCGAGACATGTAACTGTTTTTAGTCTCCATTTTTAGTGGACCATTATATCCCTAAAATGTAAAAAAAAAAAATATATATCTTCTTTAAATAACTATATGTAACCTTTTTATAATATATTATTTGTATATAATTATTAGAGGTACAAAGTGCCTCGATCCCTCCTCTAGTATAACATAATACTGATTCGACACATTAATCTAAAGAAAAGTAACTTATGTGAAATAAATAAAAAATATTATTGATTGGAAAAAAAAATTGAATTCGTGGTACTGTAGGTGAGTTTTTTTTCCCCCCTAATTTTAACTAACCTGTGAGAGAGGTGGAGACGTGGTATAGGTCGAATTTCCTTCCCTGGCTCCGGATGTAATGTAATCCAAAATTATGTGGTCTAAATTATTCCTTTTCATTTACGGGTCTACGTGGCTGTTTCTTGACGGAATAGGTGCCACTTACGTTTTCTGGTTCCTATGCACGTACGCACGCACTTAAAAAAGCTTATGCGGAAGCACATTCACAGAGCGACCTTGGATTTTGAATCATGAACGCAGCAGCGTCAGCAACAACAGCTAATAGCAGTGTTTACTCTCTTTCCTCGGGTTCAAATATCAAACGTTTCCTGTTCTTCAATGATGCTCGTCAACATCAACGCTCTCGGTTCCTGCTAGCTCCCAGGGCTTCTGCTCCGAAGGACAGCAAGAACGATGATGATGAGATACAGAAACAGCAACCATCTGTGTCGCTTAGCCTGGACGACGTCAACCCTGTGGGACTCGGTCGAAGATCGCGGCAGTTATTCGATGAGGTTTGGAGAAAGTTTTCCGGATTGGGTCAGATTTCTAGGACTATCCGCACGGATGATCAGGAGGCTCTTGACGCCCTTCTCGTCCGCGAAGGTCCCATGTGCGAGTTCGCAATCCCTGGCGCTCAGAATACAACTGTACTCGTTGTTGGTGCCACCAGCCGCATTGGTCGCATCGTTGTTCGAAAGCTCATGCTCAGAGGTTACGCCGTCAAGGTGCCCCGTGCCGTGCCCTGCTACTTTCTTACTACTTTTTATAATAATAATAATAATAATAATAATAATAATAATAATAATAATATAATTAAGATTTTGAAAGGAATGCTTCAAATGCCTGTCGGTCTAAGGTATCACATGATTTTTTCTGTAACAAAGGCTCTGGTAAGAAAGGCAGATCAGGAGGTGGTTGACCTGCTTCCAAGGTCAGTAGAGATAGTGATTGGGGATGTTGGTGATCCCACCACTGTCAAGTCTGCTGTAGAAGGTTGTAACAAAATAATATATTGTGCCACTGCTCGCTCTGCTATAACTGGGGATCTCTTCAGGGTTGATCATCGAGGAGTTTGTAATCTAACTAAAGCATTTCAGGTCTGTCTCCACACTTTTACCAACAAGTCCACATGCTGCTTGGTAAAATTTAAATTGGACTTGAATTTCAGGATCACAATAATAAATTGGCCCAATCACGGGCTGGGAAAAGCAGCAAAAGTAAGCTCTTGATTTCCAAATTCAAATCTGCATCTTCGTTGGATGGATGGGATGTTCGTCAAGGAACTTACTTCCAAGATGTAGTCACCACAAAATATGATGGAGGGATGGATGCTAAATTTGAGTTCACTGAGAATGGAGATGCCGTTTTCTCAGGTATATCTGGTGGATATTAATAAACAAGGCCAGCAGGTTTTATATTGTAATGGAGAACTCTACATATTCGCTTTTACCCCTATATTTCCATATTGATTTCAGGGTATGTCTTCAATAGAGGAGGCTATGTGGAACTTTCAAAAAAACTTTCTCTACCATTAGGTTATACTCTTGACAGGTATGAGATATTAGATACATGAGTTGTTTTTTATCATTGTATTTTGCTAAAAATTGGAAATTTTACCATGTATTCAATCATAATGAGTTGTTCCGTAATGATAGGTACGAGGGTCTGGTTCTCTCTGTTGGTGGCAATGGAAGATCTTATGTATTAATTCTAGAAGCTGGTCCTTCGGCAGATCCAAGTCAGAGTAGATTGTATTTTGCAAGAATTAGTACAAAAGTGGGATTTTGTAGGGTAAGAATCAATTTCCTTTTGATGAATTATGGTTTCTCCATTTTGACTAACCTGCATTGAAATTTCTTCTTAGCACTGAAGAGAAGCTTTCATATCTCCTGTCTGTATTACTATGACAGGTTAGAGTACCATTTTCATCATTCCGCCCAGTGAAACCAGATGATCCAATGTTAGATCCTTTTCTTGTACATACATTGACGATACGCTTTGAGCCTAGAAGACAGGTTCACTTCCTTACTGCTTTGAATCCACTTTCTTAAATTTGGCCTTTATGACCCAAGACTTTTGAAGTTAAATAACTTTAGGACATGGTAGTTAACAGACTAAACAAATGCAAAAACGTTAAATATACAGGGAAAAGAAGAATGTAAAACTAAATTAAGAGGGAGTCTATGACTCTATCTTTCTTTGTGTTCTAAGACATAATGATCCTCGTGAAATCATTAGATCCTTCTTTACTTCTAGTATAACTGAATCAGATTTTAGGACAAGAATTATTGTGAAAAATCTCTCTTATCTCTGGATCTGTATCAGTGTATTACTGTATCAGAGATAAGAGAGATTTTTAATGCCCCGGTTCTTCCATTCTCTCTTATAAAATTTCTTATCTACCTATATGCTCTCCCTTTTTTATTTGTATTCTTACTTACTACATGTATACCCTTTAACCATGTGGTGCACTGTTATGTCAATTAGTAATTAAGTAGCAGACTTGGGATCCTATGTTTACTTATCCCTGCTATTATTCAATTTTTTTCTCAGAATTTGAAGAGTATGAGAGAAATGAATGTCATTGAATAGTTACTAATATACAGATGGTACAAGTACAATGGGTTATACACACATCTATGAATGCCAAAGTTAACTTGAGCTAAGAAGTTTATCAGTCTGATATTTGCATACTTGTGCCAAAGTTAACCTCAAAGTGATGATATTGTCTTATGTCTTGTTTGGTATAATTAAAACATAAAGTTGTATCGTTTTAAATCTAACACTTATTAATGCTCCCCTATTGTCATTTGAGCAAAACTAAAGTTAAGTAATACATGCGTCAAGGTTAACCTGATCCAATCTTTTCCATTATTGAACTGTTACAATTAACAATTGAGCTGCAAAAGGTGTCATATACAGTTTCTTATTTGCGCCCATCATTTCTTTAGTAGCCTTATAATTTGCTGCATTGTTTGTGTCAACTTGGACAATTTTCTTCCCTAATCTCATCAACAACTTCATCCAACATTTTAAAGACCTTATTAGATGTTTTGGATATGTGTGATACATTGACAATTTTTTTTAAAAAATCCCTTAAAGCTATTAACCTAGAAGTATGGTCCCCTTCCTCTTGTTGGTCTATCCATTTGTCCTTATGGTGCATTCCGTCTTCCAATGAAATTATCCTCCTCCAATGCCTCCTTGGTTAAGTCTACTATTTTTTTTCCCCAAAAATTTGACCCTAATCTCATGGTAGGAGGGTGGTGTAAATCCTAGTGCATGTTGAGAAACCAATTCAAACATCTTGTCTAATTTACGCTATTTGCCTCCCTCAAATTATTGAAAACTTTAGTATGGTGTATTGAAAACTTTAGGACCTTGGTTCTCCCACATACTCCCTTAATTTTTTCATTAATTTTCTTGTAGGGGGTCCAGTTTACTACATTTGCTTCTTCACCTCATCATTGACAGCTTTGCAAGCTAAAACATCCTTCTAATTCATGCCAAATGATGTTTCAATCTACAATCCCTCTGGTAATGACTTTTTCATAGTAATTGCACTTGATTTTTCTAAGATTTCCATCAATTGAAACACCATGTTTCCCTGCCACATGAATTCTACTTCCTAGAGCATTCTTGATCACTTTGCAACTACATTACCTAGATATCAAACTTGCTACATTTTAAGTACTAGTGACTCCACTAGCATTCCCAGCACTACTTTTTTATTTTTTTTTCAGCAAACCAAACTGCAACATAAAACAAAAATCAATTGTTAGAAGAACAAAACCTCCTTCCATGATTTCACAACTGCAACCAATAACCAAGAAGCCTCAACTGAAAAGTCCACAACACGTTTCAGAAATGCAGAAGACCAACACTAACACACAAGTTCAAAACAAGGAAGAGAACAAATATCAACAACCATTGGCTACCATGAGTTCATATCAGGGAAGAGAAGAGGAGAACGGAGATCAAAGTTTGAAATGGCAGAGATGAGGTCAAGAGAGGGAATAATTTGGCCTTTGGATTTTGTTTCGTGTGCAAAGACGAGTAAGACACAAAATGTGTGTTTTTTTAAAAATCTGGGTTGCAAAATTCAACGTTTTGGGTGGTCTTGGGTCTCAAACTCCATGGGAAGCACTAATTCCACATTTTTGCAAGTTTCCCTAATGATCCCATACTAATCCTACTAGGCTACAATCTTCATGAACTCGAGCACAAAGATGCATAAAAGATTCAACATGTGATTCTATGTGCGAGAAATAATTAAGCTAAATCTTGTGCAATATTTATTCCAACTACTTTCTAGGAGAGAAGTGACACAAGTGGAAATAGCAAAAGCGCAATTCAAGAATGGTAATGGTAGAGAATAATTTTGGTTGGGAGAATGGACAAGTTCCAAGGGATTTTATGATCGTGGGCAACAGAAAAGGTGTACAAAAGAGGGTGGTAAATTCACACGTGAGGGATCATTCACTGAGATGTTATTGCTCAACATCTAGCTTCCTTGTCACATGTTGTTTCATTGGCTAAGCTTTTTGAAGAGAAATACTTGCTTAATCAGAAAACCACCTTTGACCACCCTTATCCAAAATACCAATAGACACCACTAGCACAAACAACCAAATCCACAAGCCTACCACCCTTGTTACCCAACCCAAACACTAGAAACCAACATAACCAACAACCAATTAAGTTTTTCCGATGTTAAAAACATATCTACCACAAAAATGAAATTGAGAAGGGAGACAAAATTGTGTTTCACTTGTGATAAGAAATTTTCACCTACCCATAAATGCCTCGACAAACTACTTATTGTTACAATTAGAGAAAGAGGGGGATTGGAAACGAGAACCTGACCCACCCGATGATGACTATCCATCAGATGCAATCACTGGACTAGGAATATTAGCACTATCAAAGGAGCCTCATTAGCACTATGTGATTTTAGGGTGCTATCAATGGGGTGAAAGTAAAAGGACTACTTGACAGTGGTAGTTCAGACAACTTTTTGCAATCGTGGCTTTAAATTAGACATTGAACCAACTTCAGGATTTCAGGTCTTAGTAGGTAATGGAAATTCTGACTATGGAAGGTCCGATGAGGGAAGTTAAAGTACATATCCAAGGGTACTCTTTAAAATTACCAATTTACTTATTGCTAGTCTCAGGTGCAGATTTGGTTTTAAGAGTAGCTTGGTTAGCTACTTTGGGCCCCAATATATTTTACTATAGTGCTTTGACATTGAATTTCCTTGTGGAAGGGACCATTATTACTCTTCATGGTGATTAACCACAAATTCTGAATCCAACTTAATACAATCATCTTTGTAGAATGCAAAAAACTCAAGCTATCTCTGAATTATTTACACTACAGATTCAGCAACCAAATTGTGCTACTGATCACTAGTTACAATTACCCTAGAACATGGAATTTGAAGTAACCCTACTTTTGCACACCTATCATGATGTGTTTGTGGTTTCTATTGGCCTTCCTCCTAGTAGATCAAATGATCACCAACCACAGGGCAGGAAATACTCTTTGCCTCAACCATTTTTGCTTTCTCCAATAAGTCATGGATGTAATTTTTCTGAGTAAGTAGAAGAGCACCATTCTTCAATTGCTGTATCTCAATCCCCAAAAAATACTCAAGGTCACCTAGTTGCTTAAGAGCAAAAACATCACTCAATTGCATTATGAGTTGTTACAATAAGTGTGGAGAACCACTAGTGAGGATTATATCATCTACATTCATAAGAAGGTAGACAATATGAGAGGCATGATTGTAAATAAACATAAAAGGGTCACATTTACTAGTTGTGGACCCTTTTTGAAGGATATTGGAATTGAGCTTCTCAAACCAAGCTCGTGGTGCCTATTTCAAGCCCATAACCCACATTCTAAGAACTATCGAGTACAAACCGGGGAAGGACAATTGGTAGCAGATGCCTTGTCTAGGTCATTTTTCATGGCATGGTCTTAGCCAAAAATGGAATTTTTGCCTATATTTATGGGAAGCATGACTCGGTTCAGAAAATATTACATGATTTTCGCTCTTTTCCACTTGGAGGACATTATGGTGTTGCCAAAATAATGGCTAGGATTGTTGCACAATTTCAATGGCAGGGTATGCATAGAGAGATAACTTTGTTAGACAATGCCTCATTTGTCGGTAATCTAAGTCTTCCAATACACTAACTTTATGGTTGTTGCATCCTCTACCAATTCCACAACAAATATGGGATGATATCGCGATGGATTTCATCACAAGGCTACCCAATGCTAGTGGTTTCACAGTGGTCATGGTAGTGGTAGATCAACTTCCTTCCAGAAAATGCACAAAAATACCTCTTTATCCTCTCTCAAACTATCTTTCATCACAAATTTTTCTCCAACTCATAAATTTTTTCTTGCAAATCTAAACTCTATTTCAATTCCCACCAATGTTTTTTAGGCATTATCTGATAATAATTGGAAGCAAGCCATGGATACAGAAATGGAGGCATTGGAGAAGAACAAAACATGGGAGTTGGGTTCTTTGCCAAAAGGAAAGAACCCAGTTGGTTGTAAATGGGTATATAAAATAAAGTATAAGGCAGATGGATCAATTGAGAGGTACAAGGCAAGATTGGTTGCTAAAGGTTTCACACAAACCTATGGGATAGACTACTGAGAAACCTTTGCTCTAGTTGCAAAGATGAATACAGTTCGGGTACTATTATCTCTTGCTGCAAATTGTGGTTGGGAATTACAGCAATTAGATGTGAAAAATGTTTTCTTACATGGGGAACTTGAGGAGGAAATCTATATGGAGGTCCCACCAGGATATGAAGCTGCTGCCAATTCTGTTTGCAGGTTAAAGAAAGCTCTATATGGATTGAAACAATCCCCTCGAGCATGGTTTGGAAGGTTTACCAAGGTCATGACTGCCTTAGGATACAAGCAAAGCCAAGGGGACCACACTTTATTCATCAAACACTCCTTCTTAAGAGAAGTAACTGTATTGTTA